GAGTGATGCATTTGTCTCCTTGGCGGTGGTATGGTGGCTTCGTTATCACCCGACACATTTCGTTATGGTAGATACGACACTCAATCTTGTTTCATCATTTTTCCTCTTTCCAAAACATTGTTGAAAACGTAAATGTTGGATTAGACTTGGGATCGCATCCAACCACATAGTGCGATTTTTTAAATTCTTAAACATTTCTTATTATTTGAGATATTTGTTTTCACAGGTTATAGATTAGCGTCACAAAAGCAGTAATTCGGTTTGATGGGTATAGTTATATATATTCTTCCCATAGACTTTCAATGAACTCATATATTCTAGATAAGATTAAGTGTAATGGAATGGAAGTTAGTAACCGGTGGACGAGGTAATCCTGGCCGAGAAAACAAAGGTGGCCATGGCTAGTTTGGATTACATAATCGATGCGGAAGACTCGATTATTTCTATATACGATCTTGAATCTTACACTTTACTTCTGTAATTTCTTTTCAAAAACAGTGTTGCATTCTTAGCTGATTGTAACTTTTGTTTAATAAATTGATGATGTTAAGAGAAAAAAGATTAAGTGTAATGTAAATGGAATGACTACTTGTCCGACTGGTTTTGTTGTTGCATAAATAATTAAAATATTTTAAAATTTTGTATTTGGATTTTATTTGTAAAAACACTACTGTATATGACAAATGATTAAAATAAATTCTGCATTTGACAGGCAGCACAACATATGCGTTTTTAAAAAAAAAATAACTTTCAATTGGATGGGAAAGAAGAGAGCATGAGTATTGAAATGGGAAGAGACTGAGAAAAAGTCAGAAGAAAATATAAAAATAAAAGGACAATAAGTGGGGGGGGGGGGGGGGTGTCCACATCAACTTTTGCCATTTTATTTTGTCTCGTGGCTTTGTGCTTCTTTGGATTCAAAGCTTGAGACAAACAGAAAGACGTTCGTTACTTGGCTACCTAACAACTTCACTTTCTTTGCTCTTGTCACAATCTTAACCCATCTTCCTTACATCTAACGTATCATTGATTCCTTCTGAAAAAAACCTTCATGTTCACAACAAGAGAAAAAAGCTATCTATGCAATTTGTTAGTTAGAATATTAGACAGCTCAATCTCTGGGATTTAGCTTAGGATTTCAATGGACTAGTGTGTGATGTTCGGTCTATATTGAATATATTATGATTTACTCTGCTCTTTTATTTTTATTTTGGATTACAGTGTTGTTTTGGACATTTAGCCATAACCTTTTGATGTTAGAATAACCATTAGGAATGGAGATGATTCAACACTAGCTAGTCTTGTATATAAAAGATATATGAGCATTTGTGTTTAATATCAATTAGTTTTGAGTTGGAAGCAACACAATCTTTCATAGTATCATATCTATAATAGTCCAAACAAATATATTTAAACTAAAAAATGTGAAATTTATTATACGATGAATGAGTCAAAACAATCATCATCTCGAATGGACATGTTAGAATAAATGATATTACATGGCAATGATTCAACACTAGTATCTTATTATATAAATGAGAATGCGCGCGATGAGAGTTTGACACGTAAGCAAAATTCTTAAGCACCAGATCGTGACATGTGGCTACTATCGATGAGATGATGACATGTGTTAATATTTGAAACTAATTAAAAAACTAAAATGGAAAACGAACAAAATAAATGTCATGTAACTAACCAAATTGTAAAGAAAAAAAAAATTCTCATTGATGAAAAAAACAAAATTTCTAATAATCCACACTACATAGATAAATGTCATGTAACTAACCAAATAGTAAAGAAGAAACAAATTTTATTGATGAGAAAAGAAAAATTTCTAATAGTCAACACTAGGTAG